GAATACAGTTATCTTCTGCAGAGTGAATAGAAGTAACAGGACAGGGAAAACATCCATTCAGCATCTCTTTGAGTATTGATTGTGCTCTGAGTATGCCCTTCTGTGGTCCGTGTTTCTCCTGAGAGGATTTGGCCAGTGTGCATGAGCTCATCACTCTACATTCCTCCCATTTGTAATCTTCCTTTTTAGCCTCACTTTGCATGTTTGGTATTGAGTTGTCCTCACTTTCACAAATATCTTTGGCGACATAGTTTGATTTTAAACACACCAATGATTTGTTAATTCAACCACATATTAAACTTTCCCATTCTAAAGTACAGATTTGATTTTGAAGGCATAATAACTAATTGTTAGAAAACTCCATCATCCATCAGCTATCTAGATTTTTCTTTCCTTAATCTGTTCGTGAGAAAGAAAATGAAAGTCATTTAGAGTAAGGTGCATTCATTAATGCATCTTCCTATTAACTATTGTATCACTTTTTGCTGCATCCTCTTATTTCTTTAAATGCATAGTGGTGGGGAGCATGCTGAATATTTTAAATCATAAATACAAAGCATTGAGATTCCAGATTCCATGTCATAACTAAAATGCTGGGTCTTGTCCTGCTTCATGAATCATCAATTTCAGAAGCCTCAAGAGGTTTGTCAGGTGGACTCCCGGATACGTTTTTGGCTTACCCTTAAAGTATTGTTCATAGTCTGACATCATGGTTCTTACTCCACACTACATATCTTTTCTGGGTTCTAAAGCACTGGACAGCCAGGGGTGGTTCTCCACACTGTAGATTTCTATTCCCGGAGTGCTCTCAGGATCCTGCCCATGCTGCCTTAGGAATCTCTGTAGTTCTCTCACGTGCTTTTGCAGTCCTGAAAATGGCCAAGCGTCTAATGCATAACTATCTGGGACACACTAGACAGGTGTAGCCATCCTTTGTTAAGGACCCTGGCATACCTGTCAATCACAGTTGATATGCCAGCTTCCTTGTATCAATATAGTTGCTTCCTGCTTCATATCTGTCTACTTATATCAAGTCCTAGAAAATATCCTAAGGAATAGAGATAATTGTTTTTTTTTTTAACTCAACTTTTTAGGGTGTTGGTTAAGTGACTGTTAGTAATGAAAGTCCAAATTATTCACAAAATTCTTTAAATATTTCCAGTTTAATACATGAGAGTTATGCTTAAGAAGTTGTAAAACAAATCATATACATGTACGTACGAAGGATCCAAATTTTCCAACTGTAGGCAGTTAGTTTATATATTAGTAAACAATTGTTTTATGTAATAATACTGTTTGTAAATAATGAGAAATTAACTGGAAATTCACATATTTTTCTCAAAATCTTTGTGCTGGGTTTCAGGAAAAAAGAACATAATGCTGGACTCAATTATGTAAAAAGCCAATCAATGCAAAGTAATCTATAATAGGTTCTCTGTTACCTAGTGATGGTATACAAGAAAAAAATTAAAAAGAAATAAGGAGAAATTTTCATAGAGTATTAATTGACGTGATTATCTCATGGATATATAGATACAACCTTCAAATTATGTTCAAAGTAGTTCAAATCAGAGCAAGTTGATTAACGCTAATTATACTTGAGATGTATGACTGCATACATATGTGTATTTACTAAATATATCTAGAGAAAGACACTGCTGCTGATTAATAATTAACAGAAGAATCATAAGGCAACATAGTAATTACCTAAACCAATTTGGCAATGTGTGCCATAATAATTATAATTTCTCAATTGTTCAGATATCAACCCCCAAGAAAACGTTATGAATGATAAACAAATGAGCTCCCGATGAGAGCTGCCACATCGTGGTTAGACTCTCTTATTTCCCTGGTCCAGGTTCTAATTAGCAGAGACAAACCTGTCCTCAAACTGATCCTGCTTTCTTTCCCCTCTCCTTGTCCTGAGCCCAGGATAGAGACAGCCAGTGGAGGGCAAGAGGAGGCCATGTGTGAGTGCCCCCTTCAGAGCTACCCCCAAGTTGCGATGTCTGGAGCCTCAGCTGGGTGACTTGGGTATTGAGGAGGGAGAAGATGAAGACATGAGTGTAGGTCCAAATGTCCACAATACTAATCAAAATCTTTTAAAATTTGATGAAAATTAGATATCCAGTAAGAAAATTAGATATCCAAATGCCTAGTAATAGGATTAATTATAATTTTTGTCAATTGTTACACTGGAAAATGTTCTTAAAAATAGCTGAAATTTTCTTTGTCTAGTTATTTATATTAAGGTACATTATATACATTTACATTTATTCATAATTACTGTACATTTTGATGAATTTTGAAAATATATATACCACCGGGGGGTGGTGGTGCATGCCTTTAATCCCTGCACTTGGGAGGCAGAGCCAGGTGGATCTCTGTGAGTTCGAGGCCAGCCTGGTCTACAGAGCAAGATCCAGGACAGGCACCAAAACTACACAGAGAAATCCTGTCTCAAAAGAAGAAAATACATATACCTTTGTAACAACCATATCAATCAAAATATGTAATATTTTCAAAACTTTACAGGCTGGTTTAACAAGCTAGCCAATGGCTGTCCAATATAGCGCAGGTGATTCTGTCTGGTTTTGAATTGATATAAATAGAAGAGTAAAATATGAGGTATTACATGAGACAATTTTCCTCTAAATGCTTTTAAGAATTTTATGAGATTTATGAATTCAAATGGATATTTCCTTAGACTTCTGATTTGTATAAATATATCATTTATATGGTCATTCTCTGTGGAGCTAAGCCGGTCACTTTTCTGCATATATTAAGATGAAGATAGAGATGATTTCCTCTCGTGTTCTAATTATATAACAAGTTGATTAGTCTTAAGCAGCAAATACAATTAGCATTGTTCTCATTGAGTCATGATGTTTCTGTATCTGAACAGTAAGCCTGCTAAACATTGTAATTTCATATCCATGTGAAGGAAGCTTCCATTCTCTAATTGTGTTTAGTTTTCCTCTAATGTCATTATCACATCCTCATTCCAGCGATGTACTGTTAACATAAAATGGTTAATAGAGAGAAATGGCAAAGCGTCATCTAGACACTGAGGGGACATGGAGCCTTCGTTCCCAGACTAACTGCTGTAGGCTTTTCACACAGATCATGGTGTGGTTCTCACCTGAGCTCCTCCTGGCTGACAGGTTTAGGAAACACAGAATTATCAGATTTTCTGAATAAATGTTGGTTTTTATATGTCTTCATTTTTAAAAGAATGCCCACAATTACAGTTCTTTTTTTTCTGGAATACTAAAAAACTCCTAAAACAGGCATATTATGGCTTGATTTTGGGGTCCAAGGCTTCCCTTGGGCACTTGTTTTTTAAATGTGAATCAAGCATTTGGTTTTTTCCAAGAGGAATAAATATAACTTAGTGTTGGATCTATATTTAGTAAATATAGAGATTTATAAACTGTCTCCAAAGTTTCAGATAATAGTATTGAGATATGAAGAAAATGAGATGTTTTCTTTGTGCTTTCATTGTGGTTTTTAACATAATCTTCACGGACCAAGAGGTCCAGGCCCATGACCCCACACTGGGAAGGAAGTGGCAAGAGGAACCAGGATACACAGCAAAGCTCTTTCTCAAGAAAACTGAGGGATACAGATGAACCTCAGTGAAAGGTTCCCTTCAGAGTCTGCACAGACTCTGGACTAAATCTCAGCTACTAGATGATGTGCTTCTGCACACAGGCCTGGCGACAAGGGGAGAGAAACGGGGCCTCGGTTTGGGAAGGGCTGGCTTGTATCTGCTATCTGAAACCTGAGCTAGGGCCACAGTGGATTCCATCTATGATGGGGCAGCTCTCATCAGTAGCTCATTTACTTATAATGTATAACATTATCTTTGGGTATGATATCTGAGCAATCGAAATTATAATTATTATAGCACACATTGCCAAATTGGCTTAGGTAATTATTATGCGGGCTTATGATTCTTCTGTTAATTATTAACAAGCAACAGCATCTTTCTCTAGATATTTTTAGTAAATACAGTTGTAAATGCATTAGACATATAATTAACAAATTTCTTAGGCGTGAACTATTTTGAACATAATGTGAAGGTTGTATCTATACATTCATGAAATAATCGCAATTTATAGTCCATATATATAAAACAGCAATATCTACCACTCTCTAATAGTCTTAAAACCTGCAAAGAATGATTGAGAAATCTTGTTTTTTACTTTATATGTGACTGAACATATTTCCTAGGCTTATTAACAATGCATAAATGAAACTTGCTAAATTCTCTGTAGGCCTTCAAAGTGCTTAAAGTATATCTACAGATAGCACAACACACGACTGTTGAATAATACTATATTTTAGCCAGGAGCAAAATGTCAAGTGTCCACCAATTCACGCTTTGTGATTGACTACGCTTCACAAGTGAAATATGTTATAGGAAATCTAGTAAATAAATCCCAGTGAAATTCAAAGACATGTCTACATCAGTCCTCAAAATAAAAATCACAATTCCAAGTAGATGTTACATAACAGTAGCATACATACTTTCTCAAAAAAAAATGCAATGGAGTGACATTTTAAAAGGAAAAAAGTCACTGTGAAGCACTAAGATTAAAGACATGTCTTACTTTGAAAACTCATGCAACTGCTTGTTTGCATTATGTGTATGTGTGTGTGTGGTGTGTGTGTGTGTGTGTGTGTGTGTGTGTGTGTGACAGAGATAACTTATGTAGCCACTTTTTCAAAAAGTACATTTATTTATTTACTCATTTACTTATGGATTTTTTATTTGTTGTGAGGTTATGAACCACCATAGGTGTACAGAGGTCAGAGGATGACTTGTAGGATTTGGTTCTCTCACCATGTGTGTCTGCTGAGCCTTCTCACCAGCCTTATATCATTGTTTAAGGTTAAGTCCCATTAGTGTCAGAGATCACAGTACTGTGTTCTTTGTAAACTTCTCACAGACACAGTAGTGTTTCACTTCATGTATGAGCCACAGAAAATAATACCTTGCCTCCATGTGATATAGATGTCTCTCTGATAGTGTTGTCCTTCTCATTCAGACATCACTTTCTGCCTTGCTTGGTGGTACAGGGCTTTAATCCCAGAACTCTAGAAACAGAGGTAGGTGGATCTCTGAGTGTGAGGCCAGCATGTTCTAGAACAGGTTCTAGAATAACCAGGTTCTGTGACAACCAGACCTACATAACAGAGAGACCCTTCCTCAAAACAAAACAAAACAAACAACAACAGAAACAAACAAGAAAAAACTAAGTCACTGTCATGTAGCTGTAGTTAAGAACATGGAAGCTACTCTGTCCACCTTAGCACATTGTGTACCACACACAAATGACATGCCCTTTCTTGTGTCTGTCCTGCTTTGGCTTACTGTAAGACACAAGTAGCATATTTACTGTCCTTGGAATATTTAACAATATTAAATTAGTTTTCAATGAATGATACGGACTGTTACACTCGCAGACTCTGTACTAAATAGTGGAAGTGGAATTCAGAGCAATCATTTTGTCCAGGTTCCCAAAGCAACAGAAGGAGAGTTGGAAGCATGGAGCTATGGTGCCTTCTGTTTTAAAAAGGGGAAGAAGACTGGAATGAAGATGGTCACTTTTCTAGTAGGTTGCACAAAAGATGGTCTTTGTAGAATGGACTCAGAAGGAATCAGAATCGAGCAGAGAGGAGCCTGAGGTGACAGCTCTCAGAATTCAGACCCACTGGCTGCTGGGAAACCACTTGATCAAAAGTCTCCAGGATTTTTGTTTTCTACCATTGGTATGCTTTTAAGAAAATATGTTAATAGGTTAGATATCAAATATGAACCAAATAAACTTCAGCCATCATAGGTGAAGCCAAGGTCGGAGTCCATAGAAAAAACAGATTATCAGGAAATTTGGACATCGTTATGACCATTTTCATTTGCATTCTTGATAATTCCATATGTTTCTTCATGTTCCTTGTTATCAAGATATTTTTATTAACTTTTCACTCAACTCTTTAAGTTTTAAAATCAACATACCAACCCACTAATTTATTCTAGACTCAAAACTTCGACAACATGCTCAAATGTGCTAAGAAGGTGTTAGCATTGAAACCGCAACAAGATTCTCACCTCTGAACAGAGCACACAGTGACTGTGATACCTCAGTAAAACCCCCCACTCTATCCCCTACAGACAAAGAGAAGCTTAAACCAGGATTCCTAAGTGTAGATAAGAACTTAGACCCCTTTTCCCCAGGTGGCTGTATCTGCTACAGGGACTTTGGAAAACACAGTCAGGATATTCGACCAAAAGACTAAAAAGGGAGGCGGGTTAAAATAAATTATATGATCTGTGCCTTTAAGAACTAGCCTCACAAAGAAAAGGGAGGCTCCTTCCAACCTCCCTGCTGTGAGTGAGAGGTTTGGAAGAGCCTCCCTGGAGACTTGTAAACTTAGAAAACACCTTACTTTTGCATTCTGTACCTAAAAGTCTTCAGTGGCGGCTTTGGGGACTGTGATCTAGGCCAGGCCAGTTTCAAGTCCCCAGAAATGATGGCGCCAGCCCCAGGAACAAAAGGACAGAGTCAGGATGTCTGATGGTAACCAATTAACCACGAGATGCCCCTCTCCAGAGATAACAAGACCAGACCCCGGAGATGAGTTGTAAAACTCCTGACAGTAAGATAAAAGAAGAAGTCCAGGCCCGGGAAAAACTTGACCAATCAAGGATGGACCCGTACTAACCCCCTCCCCTCTAAGAAATTTTATGGGTTTTGCCTATAAAAACTAACTTCCCCAAGAAAGAGGCGCTCCTCCCTGCCTCACTGTATTGGGTGTAGGAATGAGTCCCTGTCTAGACTTGTATCTGCAGAATAAACCTTGCTGTTGCATTCTGGACATCCAAAGGTCTACGGTGGATTCTTTGGGGGGTCATAATCTGGGCATAACAGACTTATTTAGAGCTCTACAAAAATCATTTTACCTCACTTAAGCTTCCCACAGAACACAGGCCGCATATGAAAAAGCAGAAGTAAGTTTCTCAAATGCTCTCTTTCACAAAAAGGGTTGATTTGCACAGAGATAACATTCAGTAATAATGTGTATTATGATCATAAAGACTTTTTAAAAACCATGTCTGGCACTTGAGAGGTTAACTCGGTGTTTAGGAGCATTTGCTGCTCTTCTGGAGGACTTGAGTTCTGTTCCCAGCAACAATGTCCAGGGGCTGACAGTGTCCTGCAACTCCAGCTCTGGGGGATCTGATACCATCTCCTGACCTCCATATCACTTCCACCCATGTCATAGACTACCATGAAGACAAATAATTAAACAAAATGAAAGAAAAGAAAAACTGTCTATAAAAATCAAGGACTTTTAAAAATTATTCTTATAATTTTTAATTATAGTTTTATTTCAATATTTAAATATTTGGAAAATTTTGCCATTATTTTATAACTCCAGTTTTATTTGTACCCTGAGTATGTGGACCAAATAAGGAAGTGATCTTAAAAAGACATTCTAGGAGGAACACATGCCATCTGCAAATGAAAGACAACAGCCAAAAGCAAATAGATCTGGAAGCCTGATGCAGCAAGTGGATCTGAATGCTGATGACTCCTGCAGGGCGTCTACACAAGTGAGATGTAAGGCCTTTGGTCGTGTATCGCATCAGCAAACTTAAGGTGCAGGCAGTGAAAAGACACACGAGAAAGTGAATAATCCTAGTTTCAAATGTATACCTGTCCTCTCAGGGCATAACTAACTAACGGGACGAGTTACATTGAACAGACATTACCTTAATTAGCAAATTCAATCTTTCCTAGTAGCCCAACAGCTCAAAACACTGAAATATATTCAGTCTTCAAAAGCTCCTCTAAAAATGGGTCATGACTATACAGATAGATATTTCTAGAAGAAAGAAGTTCTCACAACCCTGCCCCATGCAACATTTTACTTGTTTATTTTAGATATTTATTTTTGGTGATTTCTTTTTCTCAATTTTTAAACTGGTATGTAGCCATTGTATGCACCAGTGGGTTTCATAAAGACATTTAACCAGCACATTGCTCTTGCCCTGACATCCCTCTTCCTGTCCCCAATCAGTGCTTTTGTTTCCCTGAAGATTTTCTTCTACTTTGCGCCATATCCACAAACATGACTTCATGTATATGTGTAAAATCTCAGACCCACAAATGAGAGAAAATATGTGATATTGGTCTTTCCTAGTAGTACTGATATTAATATGCTAATCTCTACTCTGTTACTTTTATTGAAAAATGACCTAATTTACCTTTCCCTTATAGCTACTCAAAATCTCATTCTGTGTGTTAACCTCATTTTCTTTGTCTATTCCTCTATCAATAACAACTAGCTGGTTCTCTAACTTACCTATATTAAATAATGTCACTGTACATATCAGTGTGCAGATGTCTCTGATTTCTTAGCTTAGAGTCCATTGGCTTTATACTTTGCTTATAGACTGTTTACCTTGTTTACATGAAGTCCTAGTCCCTTAGGTTATTTTGGTAGATAAGACTTATTGATTTATAGTCACCTATGCTTGTCATTTCTATAGTTACATTAGTTAGGTTATCCAGATTTACAGATGCATAGGTCAGATGGACAGGTAATCCTCAAACACTTCATAGACCTAGAGAATATGGCATTTCAATAACTTAGAATTATGTTGACATGAGACACAAATTGCTCCTGGCAGCACCAATTTGATCCCGAGAGAATGTTAGGCTTCTAAGACATTTCCATTTGGAAGTTTGTCTTCTTGGCACAAAATGGCCTACTGGGCAAAGAACTGTCCTTGCCTCGACTGCTGACAATATGAATGCAGACATCAATGGTGGTAAAGACGACCACCACAGTTGCTATGGAGGTCAGTATGGGGCCTAAAATGACTAATAACACATGTACTACATGCCCCATCTGTGACACTTATTGGGAAAATTATTAAGGACACTCTATGTAGTTAAAAGGGAGATTTATTCTGGACAAGCAGGACACAAGGAAAGCGACCACTGTACTCTGCCAAGACAGGGTAAGATGGTCTTTCAGAATTCCTGCTTCTGAAAATGGTATGTCAGATTCTCTTAGCTGTAGCCAATTTGAATGCACCAACAATGCTGAGAAACATTAGGTGACTGTCCAGGCTGCCAGCTGTCTCGGTCTATTCTTTCAAGATTCCCAAAAGTTGCTTGCATCCATCTACCGTTTCTCAGGTACCATTATATTCCTTCTCAGGTCTTTGGTGGGACTGAAGACTAGCAGTTATAGTTACAACTTAATAACTTAAGAATATATATATATATATATATATATATATATATATATATATATTCTTAGAATATATAAGTTAAGAATATATATATATTCTTAGATAGAACATATTAACTATTAGATTATATATATATATATATATATATATATATATATATATATATATATATATATATATATATATATATATACATATATATAACATCTTAGATAGAACATATTAAGTATTAGATTCAGATTCAGGTTCTTTAGGATAGGATACCTTTTGGAATGATCTTTGTAACATACCATTTACCTATGCTCTAGACTTCTCTGGATTTTAGTATGTGTTTTTTGCTTGATATTGTTCGCAATGATTGTAGTTTCATCTTATCTAGGTCATTATCCCTCATTAATCCTGGACAATATTTGATAACCATTCCTTTGTATACAGTCTTGTATTAAGTTAGAACCTTCTTATTTAGACAAAAAGGGGGAGATATAGTGGGTAGCCATTCCAGCTTTGGTCTGGAAGTTCCAACCCCCACTGAGGCTTCGGTAACATCATGCCTACAAGGTGGGGCCAAAGGAGGGCCCTGAAGACCTGAGATGCGCCATGCTCTCTTGTTTTCCTGGACCCTGGATGCTAGAGGTAGGCCGAGGAGAGTTCTCCAGAGAACATTGCCAGACTGCGCTGCATCTTTCCCAGAACCTACAACCTACCTATCCCTTTATTTGTAAGTTATGGCACTAAATAAATCTCCCTTTTAACTATGTGGAGTGGCCTTAATAATTTCACCAATAAGAGAGACCGGCCCCCAGCTCCCATCCTGCCCCCAACTTCCCTTCTGGATCAGAGGTGAGTATCTGGGCCCAGC